TACCGTCGAAACGTCGCTAACTCCTGGTGCTCTGTCTGTCAATATTCCCTATTACTATCACTAAAACTATTATCAATAGCAATATCACCAATCTGAGATCGATATCACCATCAGTGCAGTAGCTCTCGTCACAAGGAACCAAGGTAATTTTCCAATTTCTTTAATCAGCACTTACAATAACTTATCGCCCCTCTCTCTGTGATTATCTCTCCTTCGCTCACATCATTCTATGCAAACAAACAGCCAACGTGAACAAACGACACATCTCATCGATGTGTCATACTCATATCATTTACACTCAAATAGCAATCATTAAACACTGCCATATCACCACATCAGTTGCGATTATGTATCTGATATAAAGCTGAAACGAACCGCAACAAGACCGAATAACTTCCCCATGTACGGCTTCATACTGACGCCAATCGTTGAAATAAGACTCGCCAACTGCTGCAGGAAGAATTGACGAACGTCTGGTCGAGACACGTGTTGAGTGACGTCGATTAATTTTGGTACGACCTCAAATTTGCACACTTACTATCAGTATTCATCACCGAGTATTTTTCCAAAGTGGATGTATCTTCGATACTGCTATCTGATCTCATCGCACATCGCACATCAACACTTTCTTATAAACCTCTTGAAAGTTACACTAATGATCCTTTGATATTTTATACAATAATAAAAATAAAGGAATATACCACCAACTTACAATATCAATAATAAAACACGACAATAACATTAAATGATAACACCAAAAAANTCATAATGATCCTTTGATATTTTATTAATAATACAATAATAAAATTAAAAGAATATACCACCAACTTACAATATCAATAATAAAACACGACAATAACATTAAATGATAACACCAAAAAACAAACACTAAAAGCAAAACCTTGTCAACGTACTGCGACGATTTCGGTCCGAGATTACTGAAAATGGTGAGGAGCGCTTGAATGATCTGACGGTGCAGATGATGCAACGAGTCATCTCGCAGCATTTGCATTAAATTCGCGATCGCAAACGTCGGATAAAACTCCGACAGAGTGCATCGTTCATAATGGAACCATTGCACTATGTCTGAAATACGTCACCGAATTTACACTGCCTTCTCTCTCAATTTCTTCTTTATAAACAATACCTTTGAAACTTACAAAAATACTTACGAAAACTTTAAAATACTTTTAAAATACGATGAAGTCACAATACATAATTTTCGCATGAACATACAAAAATATGTTAATAGATCTAAAAGCATTCATTAAAAAAATACCAATCGCCGATATATCAGAACAAGACAAACCATCTCTCGAATCCGAACTAACGACTGCAGATGGTAACGACAGTGCCATTGAATTCGATGTTACTGATGGCACTAAACCCATGAATACTTTATACGTGTACGGGTCCAATGCTCCGATTATTCCGAGTACCTGCAAGGCAATTATAATTCGAAAAGTATCACTCCAGTACAAATAAACAGATCATTGAAAATGTCACAATAATAACGCTAATAATAACCACAACAACTACAACAGCTGAAACTGTGAACTAGCATTTTCTAGTGCTGTGCGGGAAGTCCCCGAATTCGGAGTCCCCG